AAGTTTCATGGCAATCGTACTATGCCACAAACCTTCGCCGGAATATATTAAACAACTTCCCAAAGTTTCACGGCAATCGGATAAACGGTGTGGTAATGCATGAAGGACATAAGACAGACACACAGACAGACATACATTCATTTTTATATATATAGATAGAGAAATATTCTTTAGAATAAATTTGGCATGATTAATAATTTGTAGAACATTAATCATAACACAAAATCAATTTTTACACGTCAAACACAGTTTTTCTATATTTGATTACAGAATCCCTTTGTAAATAACAGATTAACTACATGTCACTATATTTATTTATTAATTGAGAAAAGTTAGAAGTTGTTTAAACATATTTTTAAATATTAAATATTCATTTTCTGATATAGAAAATCAATTTATAACTACTAAAAATTCATCTCGGTAGAAAGATTTATGTGGAGAAGTACCCTGTACAACAGAAACAAAGCTATACTTTCTACACTTTTAACGAAAATAGCTTTCTGCCATTATATTCAATTACTTACAAGCTGATTGCTTCTAGATAAAGTAGAATAATAAACTGTTATGAATAATAAAAGCTGAACAGAATATTTGAGTGCGTCACGTAGATATATACTCTAATAAATGCATGAATAATTAATATTTTCAACGTTTAATTATGCAAAACGGACGTAATGAACTCATTTGCTCCTATAATTAATCAATTTTTCACGAAGATTTAAAGTGTAGGACGAAAATTAATATATTAATATTATTATTTTGTTCCTCTAGAGGACATGTTGGTGGAATGAAATCTGCAAAAAGGAATTTCAACAGCAGTTCCGTTGCAGATGCCCTAAATGGTCTTATTGCAGATCACCTGGAAAATATTATAATGCTTACTGTACTATGACCAGCACAGGTTATATCTGGTTACAAACAGAACGTAAAAATCGCCATATTGGAATTTAGCCATAGTTGTATATCGTTTTTCTTCAATTACGTCCTCTAATTCTATATGTAACAAAAAAAAAAAAATTATTTTTAACTCTGATATGTAAATTTTTGTGCATTATCATCTTATCGATGATAAGAGATATGTAGGTTAATGCTTCTTTACCACGCGATGCTGTAAAGAAGTTAAAAAAGAAGTTGAGAAGTCTGTTAATGTCTTTAATTTAAAAATTTATCGGTTGATTGCCACCGTATTAATGATCGTAATTAAGTAAATTTTTATCAGAATATTTTATATTCTTAAATTACTTTAGATACAATATTAGCTTTAGTCAATTTTAAATACATTCTCCTACGTTCGACTTAATTATTTATTATAATAAATATTCTAAGAGTTGTAACATACATATATATAGACCTATATATGTATAAATATTTGTTGTAAATAAGATTTTTATCAAAGAAATTAACTAAAATCATCAAACTAATGTGATATTTTAATTAGTTTCATCTAATTATAATTATTAAGCAATAAACTTGATATAATTTATGCTAATTGTGATTTAAAACATAATTAATAACTTGTTAATGAAAATTGAAAAATTGTTGGAAAGGAGGACGAGTTTGGAAATTGCTGCAAGTGATGTCGCTGATTATTCATTTAATTATTATATTAATACAAATATAATAATAATAATAATAATAATAATAATTTGTAAAATAAATAAATAAATGAATAAATAAATAAAAATTATGCACGTTTTATTTATTAATTTTAGATGAATGAATTTTTGAATTTGTTTCTTATTGAAAATGAATGGATTTTTAAGAATAAAGAAGACAGTTGTGTCTAATTTCACACAATTTTCATGTATGTATTTATATAATTATAATTAATTTAAAATATTAAATGTTCTATACGAATTTATAAAGTTTTAATGACTAATTAATTGACTTCTAACATACAGATTCTGAATAAATACGTCGGATATGTAGCCATCGATTGAGCCAAAGTTCTAACATGCGTAAGGTCATTGATATGACTGGAGTGTTACTTGCAGTATTATTAGATCTAGTGTTATTATTACTAGCTGCAGTATAACATTAATTTTTCTGTGAAGAATTATTATAAGCATTTACTAGATATGTATCTATATGCTGTTTTTTTGTTTTTAGTAAAGCATGTTATAGTAATTGGATCAATATGTTATACTGTACATACACAAAACCCATACTATAGTTTATTGTAATGTATTATTATCAATACAAATATCCTACTTACATTACGATAAACGTGTTCACAGAATAGATAAACAGAACCACTATGGGTAAATCTCGGTGATATAACAATAGTAATTAACACAGTTGCTAGAAAGATATGAGGTCAAAAATGATAAATGACAATAACATATATGTTTTGTGTTATATCTAAAGAAGAAAATCGTTATATGCATTATATAATAATTTTTATCTTTATATACAGTATATTATTTTACCTAAGCTAGTAGAGTATATGTATTTTTGGAAAACTGTAGTAAAGCGAGCCGTTATATTTCCATAGTTTCACTGTCATAAATTGAAATTACATTCCTGGAAATGCAGTTTGGACCTGTGTGGCTAATAAAAAATACAATAGGTCTATACAATCATAACAGAAAATTTATACAAGTCATAAAGGGATCTTTTCTATACAATATTATAGATTTAATTTGAATGATATACACAGTGTAATAATTAATAACTCTTTGTTACAGTTTAACTACTGTATTGATCGTAAATTATAGATTCGAATTTTTTAAGGAAGATTTCCTTCTAGGTTTGTTTTAAGCCCGTATATTTAAACTTTTTGTAATCTAAATGTTACGATGTTACATTTGAGATATAAAATATAAATGAAAATGTTATAAAAAGTTAAGTTAAATTTTTTCCTCTGATGAATTATTATACTGTTATAAATCTACTTCAGTAAGAAAGGAGAAAAAAATTATTACTTGTGTTACATGTCTTTTAAAGTAATATTGAACGTAAACTAAATGTTTTATTGAATATAATTGAAGCATGACTTAATATAAATGTAATGTTCTGAATATAAATTAAGTATATTATGTAACTACCAAAATTAAACTAAGTCCCTATCGATGTAGCACAGTCGATAATTCGATAACTACAGGTGTTCAAAAACACTTCACTTATCGAATTCTTGGCTTGACAAAGAAAAACGACAGGTTGTTCATAAAAGCTATAAATATATTCTAACATTTTATGAAAGGTAAAAGAAAATACAAGGAATGAAATGTTGCAAAGATTAGCCTAGTTACTTATAAAAATATTAGGCCATTGCAATAAAATTATTTAGATTTTAGGGCACTTGCTTACCTAGCTCTCTCTTAATCCTACGTTAATTATATTTGTATTGATAATTTTTTTTTCATTTTTGACTCCGTTCTGTGAGAACTAATTTTTTTCCATATCCATCATGGGTTGGCTAGACCAACAATGGGGTCGACCAGGACAAAATGTCAATGAAAATTTCTTGGGGTTTTTCGCCCGTCCGGATTCGATTCAGGATCATCAGAAGGGTACGTTGACGCCTTAACCAAAAATTCTTACAATCTACAACAATTAGTTTTAGTTACAACGAAATATTTTCATACGAAAAGCTGATTTCATTTTAGAAATTCCATGTCGTTGGATTAATTAAATACTAAGAAATTTAAAATTAAATACTAAGTGTTTAAAATTTAATTTCACGCTAACATTATGAAATTCGTGAATAAAAATTGAATAAATAATCAATAAGTACTGTAATTATGACTGCAGAGAAGGCTGGCATGTATTGAAAAACGTCATCATGTTCGAAAAAATAATAAACGAATAATAATCTTCCTGACTTTTCCACACATCTTGTCACAAGTAAGTGAAACTCTCAATTGATAGAAGAAATTGAATTAATTAAATATCCTCTGGGATAAACTCTCTTGACCATGTAGCGAGTTTGCATTCCAAATAAGTACGAATTAAAGCGAGAAAATGCTCCGTCGTACTGATACACGCTGTGGAATCTTAAGTGGAATGTCTTCAAGTAGATAGATTGTTCTAGAAATTCAAATACAAGTGAAAATAATGTGCATCGATGATAATAGCACATCTACCTTTAAGGATGTATTTAAAACATTTTTAGTTCAACAGAAAGCATGTTGTTCGAATAGTAGTGAATTTTTTACATGATCGGATATGTTCTTAGTTCTTATTTAGAGCTTCAAAACTCGAAAAATAGACTTTTCGATCCACAATACATTTCACGGAACTTTATTATCTCACTATTTAAGACGATTCAATTGCGGGAAATCTCTAAAATTTGTATTTTAGACTTATAGTTCTTGAAATTATTAACACCTACGTGCATCAATGCATAACAAGGATTTAGTGTAATCAAATATCATACGTGGATAGCAATGAATAGGCCAGAATGGTCCGATTAAATGGCTTATAAGGTAGCCTTAGTGGATTTTTCCGATGGACTACTTGAAGTTTACGAAACAGCTCGTGAGTGCACGCGAAAGCAACGACGTATTTTGGCTGTTTATGGAGCGGGATAGTTTTGTCTTTCAAAAAGAAATTTTATCTCAAAAGTAGGAAAACATTTATATAGTGGACATTTGGGATTTCAAATGTCCACTATATAGATTTTTGTCTTCTTCAATCATCTTTTCGGTTTATCACCTGATCATCCTTTTTTCAATCAGCTTTTTTACATTTATTCTAATTAAAGCGTATTCGTTTAATTTCTTTAAATATCGTTATTCGAAGTCTGAAACTTTGGCACGCATAAACATCTTTAAAGTTAAGTATGCTTACAATATGGCACGCGAACATAAAAAGGTTCGTCATCCCTGGTCTAGTCTATTTATTTGCTAATTTGCAAGACTTGAGAACTGAGAAGGACTCTATCTCTAAAGTACTCCAAAAATGCAATAAAAATAACCTATATAAATAAAATCAACAAAAGCAGAGTTTTGGAAAAGTTTGTTCATCACTTCCTATCCTTCTGAAAGATGCCAAGACATGATTTGATTTAATGATTGAATCTGAAACGGACTAACTCGATTGCATTGACTTGCTTACCCTCTGTATTAACGTCGCTTTTATCAGAGGTGTCCTTTAATTAACATTTTTTCATGGCCAAATGGTTAATCTGTGTCAGCCTACCGTTCTGGGAGACCCGGGATCTGATTCGAACGGATCGAAAAATCCCAGAATTTTTCGGGGATAGTATATCCCGGATATGTCGGATACTGTCCTTAACCACCCGGCCGCCTTGTGAGTCTAGTCGAATTTGCGATAGCCTTGATTAAGTCTTCTTGTGCCCATTCTTAGTGCCCACGCCCACCAGTAGCCGAGTGGTAAAAACATTATTTAACGTGTACAATTATAGAGTAAGCTTATCTAGAGGCCACTTCCTGTACATCTAATGGTAATTTCAGTCATTACGTTTTACCTAAACAGCCAATCAGTATCTTTCTACCAAGAATGTCATGACTATAGGCTATAGTCATTTGGCATCTTTTACACTTGACTGTGTAATTACTGTATTAATTCTTAATAATCTGATTGAAGTATTAGCAATACAGTAAACCTTGCTGAGTCGAACTGCGTTAACTCGAAGCTGTTTACGGGTCTCGACATTGTATTCAATATATAGGATTTTTCATATACTGTAATATAGTCTTATTAAGCCGCAATTTTCGGTACTATTAATTGGATAGATAGGTCCATGATCTGCATTTTCTCTCACCTTTCGTGTGAATAAAGACGATTAAGACAAACCCTATTGCTTCACGCTGAACACAACAGACCGTTACAACCTCACATCGATATCCTTTTATTGATACAGTATTGACACACAAGAGAGTACCTTGACTTCAGTATATAAAGTCCGTCTTTATTTATTGTATGTGACACCATTTATTTTACTTATTATTATTGCTACTACACAATCGCAGCTGCATGTGCTTTTTGCTGAAAAATGCTACCTTATTAACAGGCAACAGTAACAGTCACTACGACCTGAAAGCACAAAGGCGCTCTTGTATGTCTTCTGCTCAAAAGCCAGCATTCAAATATGAAATAAATTGTTGGTAAACAGCTATTACGATAGAAAATCAATTCCTTTAATATTATTGCCAGTTGTCGGCGACTGTTTATTCGTCAAATGTATGTTACAATCGCTTATTTCGCAGTAACCTCGTTCGAGGTCGTTCCACTATTTGCAACCCGTGGATGCGGTCGGTAGCACCTGGCCATGCCCGGAAAGATCGAGAGGCGTATGCTTATTTAATGGCGTCATGCATTCGCCTTCTTAGAATTTTTGTGGCTTTTATAGAAATAGGGTCGCCACTTCGCTATCCCACCACATCTGACAGTAACACAATTACCTAAAAATAAAAATTATTCTCTCAAAATTAATACCTACGTATAACTCCAAAGACCTGGCATGTTTATTTTAAAAGTAACGGCATGATTTCCCAAAATATAAAGAAAGAAACGATTCTCATTGGTTGCGATTCTCATATTTGACGTCATTTGAATGCCAAAACAAAACATCTTGCACAAAACATATATCCTTATGGTAAAAATATTATTGAT